CAAAAGGGATCATTTAAATTTTATCCTTTTAGAAAATATATGCAAAATCAGTCTCAGGAAATATATTACTTTAAAAAAAAGATTTATTTAATTATGTGGACCTGTGCATGTCTATGTCTGGTTATGTGTGCATGTGAGTGCAGGAGCCTACAGAGTTCAGAAGAGGGAGTCTGAATCCCTGCAGCTGGAGCTACAGGCAATTGTGAGATGCCCAGTGTAGGTGCTGGGAACCAATCTTGGGTCTTCTACAAGAGCAGTATGTGAATTTTTAGAAAATATTCTTTATTTTAGAATTTCATACATGAGTATTATCTTTGCATCTCTCAAATCCCCCTCTAACTGCTTCCATGACCAATGAGTCTATTTAGTAGTGCTCATGTGTACCTGTGTCTAGGGCTGCCCACTTAGGGTTAGAAAATCTCTCAGGGAGCTTGTCCCTGGAGAAAACTGATTCTCCCTCCCTCAGCATCCATTGATTACCTGTAGCTCTTCATCTTGAGGTGGGACCCCATGGACTTTCCCCCGTCCACCTTGGCATGTCAACTGGTTTTGCCATTATGCAGATCTTGTTATGTTACCATACTGTGGATTTCATTATTGTAGCTTTCTTATCATGTCTAGAATGCATTATCTAACAGCAGGTGTCTTGTCCCTCTGGATTTTACATTCTTTCCACCCCTTTTTCTGCACTATTCTGTGAGCCTTAGGTATAGACACATTGTAGATGTGTCACTTAGGGCTGGGCACCTCACAGTTACTTATTCTCTACATTTGATCAGTTGTGGAACTTTGTAATAGTCTCCATCTGTTGTAAAAAGAAGATTGTCTGATGAGTGGTGAAAGATACACTTGTCTGTAAGTATAAGGATATGTATTTAGAATGTAAGAAATTATGTTGGTGTAGGGAAGTGACAGAACTAGGTTCTTCTCTAGGGTCTATGACCTCTCCAGCCATGTGTACTTGGCTATGTTTACATTGCCACCCATGAATTCCCTCCCATTGAGTAGGTATTAAGTCTAATTATATAGCTGATGGTTACCCCCAAGATAAAAGTGCTACTGCTGCACCAATAGAAATGATTTGCTGGGCTAATCATTGTTGTGGTTTGTAGGCTTTATAGTTGGGTAGGACCACTGATTGATTTTTCTCCCTTGGCAGTTTGCAGAATATCCTCTGATACCATGAGAGCTAGTCTTCAGGGAGGAGGCTTCCAGGTCAGTTCCAGCTTGATTGCTCCAAGCCCTGTGTCTGAAGTATGTCCTGTTTCAGCTATAGGGTCTTACCTTCAAGTTCTGGGAGGCAATCAAGGGTTGTGGCAATAGCCTATTTTATCTTTGGAGTCTCTTAGATTACCCTGACCAATGTTTATTTTA